CCTTGCAATCTCCTTGTTGTGTGGTGGCGCAGAAAACAGGGCCATTACTGACGAGAAGCACCAGTCTGGTCGGTGGGATTGCTGAGCCCGGAAGCCAGAGGAAACTGTGAGTGCTTTGCACTTCCCACGAACATTAAATTAAATCCTTGAGGGATCCTTGCACTTCCTTTAATGGGACCCTATGAATATCTGAGGTTAATTGGCTGTGCTAAAGTCACTTGCAAAGCTCTTCTTAGCATTTCAGTAGGATCAGATTCATCCTTTAATTGCCAGAAATTATTCATGTGTGCTGCTTCACGTTATGCATCCTTTTAGATACATGAACTGCTGTTAATATTAGCTGTTGCTATAGTGTGTCTTCTCTTAGGATGTCAGTGGGCTTCACAAAACACCAGATCTCACAGCGTGTCTGTGACAGTACCAGGAACTATAGGTTTCATAATATAGCTGAGAAAACTGTGGCAAGGACAGACCATAAGATCTACTGAGAATCACATGAGAAAATACTGTCATTGGGTCATTAGTACGTAGAAGGTGTGGGCTGGAGTGAGGACTCCAGATACTCCAGAGACCTGTATTTTCCTCTGAAATATGGACTGTTGACAAACATAAACAGTTTTTTGTGTAACAGCCTAAAAATAAAGGAAAAGCTACACTGAAAATTACTGGTTGGCTTCGTCATGTGGCATGAATGTTTGTATCTTTTATTAAAAAAAAAAAAATCTTGTGTCTTACATTTCGAAAACATTTTTATCCATATCCTTTTATTAAGGAGCAGTCGCTTTGTGACAAACAGTAGTTGGTCTGTTCTGCACTGAACCATTTCTTAGTGACAGCAAGTTATCTGAACAGTTGCTCCAAATTCATGATACCAGTACCTTTATTTAAACATGTTGGAGGCATAAAAATGACAAGGTCAGTATGGCAGTTCTGCAAGGCTTCAGATTTTGATTGATTCTCTGAAAAGTTTCTGATGGCATGGTCGCAAACTGTGAGGCAAGCTATTGTTTAAAAAACTTTTTCTTAGTTGCCGGGAAAGATGCCTTGTGAATCTGAAAGCTGAAGACCTCAAGTTCAGCTTAATATTTATAGGACTGGTTGCACACGGGCAGCCGTAGCATAGATCTCCCTGTGCTCTGTCATTTTTGTGTCGCAAGCCGTCTTGAGGCACAGTTAAAAGGAGAAAGGGCAGACTGGTTCGTGACCCTTCCCTGGGAGTGAGCAGAGATGTGTCGTTTAGCAAAGAGGGCTGGTGCTGTGTGTGGTTGCCATCGGGAAGGAGTCTGCAGTTGCCCGGACCGGACTGAAGACCATTGACAGCTTAGTGCCCGGTTGGGATTTAAGTGAGAGACACATCATTTTATTCCTGAATTTGTCTCCATGCCATTCACCAGAAGGCCACATAGAAATACGTTATCCAAGGCACATATATTTCCCTAAAAGTCCACTGACTACAGAAAATAAAAAGAAAAAGGCTATGTTTATATGTATGGGTTCTCATGTGGTTTGAGCCTGAAATTATCAGATCAGCATTTTTAACAGTGGCTGCCCAGCGTTTGCGGAGGTGCTAGGCAGCTGTGCTTCTGGCCGACTTGGGGAGCAGCTGCTGTATCCTTCATGTGAACCAGGATGTTTTGGCCTTGTTTGGTCGAAGGAAAGCAGACAGGGTTCTGCTGCGCTTGGCTGTCTCACACTGACGAAGTCGGAGCTGAACTCCTGTGCCATTGCTCATATAACAGCAGGTGAATGCCAGGAGCTGCATTAAAGCAGGTTATGTTACCACGCTCGTGATCTGCATTCCTCAGCCAAGTTATTGTTTGGGAACCCTGCTGGATTCATGTGGTATTTGTTTATTAATAATCATCTTGTGACCATGCAGAAAAAACTGAGTAGAACAGCTCTTTAAGGTTCCAAAATCAAGGCAAATGTTGTGAGCTCTGTGTCTTTGTGCTTGTAGGTCTCTCTCTCTTGGGGGAAACCGATCGTTGGGCTTCATTGCTACAAGACTTAGGTAGGAGACTTCAGTGAGGTTGCTGTAGCTCTGCATTCATCACTGCTGACTCAGTTGTAGCAGCATAACCTTATCTTGAGAAAAGATAGAGCCAAAACAGAGGGACAACAGTTAGGTGAAAAATGGGAAGACTTAATGAGAAATATAAACCACAACACTGCAAAGAGAAAAGAGAACTAAGATGTGATAAATTTATAAAGAAGAAAGGATCTGAGTAAGTCAAGTCCTGCCAACCTTTTTACAATATTGAAGAATGAAAACAACTCTTGTAACAATGAAGAGCAATGTTTAAAGCTGTCTCTAGAGTATATATTAGTGCAATTCATCAGGTACTGCAAAATGCCATTGAGGAGAGGGACACAGCAGGGTTCATGACGGCTCCGAGAGGCGCAATAGGAGTTACTTGGACAACCAGACTTTGGTCCCTGTAATCCAATCTTTTCATTGCAGTGGTCAGCCAAGAAGGTGGTGAATTAAAAACCCTATTTTAATTTCACGTGACAGTGTTTTTAGGGTTTTTTTGGTAGCATGCGCTTGGCTGGCTTTTGTCTCCCAAGAAGGCTGTGCAGTTCACTACTACATCAAGGAAAATATGCATAGAATACTATCCTTAATTAATGTCTCTTTTCCAGTGAGAGGTTATGCAAACTGAAATACGGTAAATACTGCCCACGGTAGTGGTATTTCAGAGATTTGTGCCTAGCTGCATTGCAATTTGCTTTTTGTTGTTTTATTTTTTTTTTTAATACAGAATATTGTTTCATTTATCTTTCTCTAGGTAGCTATGTTTTTACAGTTCAATACACTTGAGCAAGCTGGTGTAATTTTCCTCTCTAAGTGGCTTTTTCTGCTACAAGCATTGCCAGTTCATGCGTTTCAGGTGCAAGATGGGCTTTCACCTAATGCCCGGAACCAAGTCATTGGATTTTCTTGTGTGGATTCACATTGTGTGTTGTGGGGTGAAGCTACGTCAATCAGTAACTGAAGAATATTGAACATTTCTGGATGACTTATGCTGCAGAATACAAAAGCTCTGAAGGACTAGTCATCTGGCCATTGTACCTCATGAAAATAAAGTCTTTATTAGAAAATTCTTAAGTCAGGGGCTGATGGTAAACCATGCCAGACAGCAGCATTTTGGTACCCAGTCATTGTTGCAGTCTCAGCCGAAAGCCTCATCCGAGCCAGCTGTATGAAGATGTGTATGTTCAGCGGCTCAGGAGTGCTGCTGTGGGCAGGCGCAGTGGGGTTAGCCGTGCACACAGCCTGAGAACGATCTCTGCCTCTGCCATTCCTCAGGTGTTGTCAGTGCCCAGAGAGCTGCCGACAGGTTTTCGGCTGGCTGCAGCACGTGTTCATGTTGGCTTGCCAAAGCAGTTTGACATTCCCTGTTTCAGGTTGCCACTGGAGCCACGAGCAAGCATCTTTACCGGGGTGGCACTGGATCTGTCAGAGTGTCTGGCATACATCTTGTACTGAAATTCATGCTCTGATTTTTAAGGGGCTTTTGACTCCTGCAAAGGTGACGGTCACGTGTTGTCCAGGGCACACGTGGGCGACTGGGTAGGCTGTAGTCCTTCCTTAATCATTTGTGAGCTGATCATCCCACAGCTTAGCATCATTATGTAGGGTTACAGGACACACTACATAGCACTTCATTCTGTTTTTTCATGTTCCCTTGGACTTTGCTTTCCTTGGGCAAGGGGCCAAGAGAGCAAGCTTAACAAATGACGGTAAAAGCTAATTGTCTTTATGGGTTTCTAGATGCCTTTTGGTACCAAGCCTTGGGACCACAGGGGTACAATGCTTGAGACCACGATCTCTCCACGCTGTCTGCAAAGCGTGGAAAGCCAGCTGCCCCACGTGTGGCTTCCAGGATGGAGCACTGGGTAACCTTAGAGGGAGTAAGCTCAGTTAAGACGTATTTCCCCAATATTTTCCCTTTAACCTCAGCTTCACTTGAAGAGCACAGTTTAGGTGAACTGTCTAGTTATGTGGCTTCCTTTATTTTTGCTTTAAACCGATTTAACTTTGGCTTATTTTTAAGAGCAGGGCATGCTAAAAAAGTTAAATTCTAGCTTAATTGGAATTAAAGCGTAACCCACTAGGGATGAAAAAGAAACAGCTAGTCTGAAGAGTTTGTCAGCACAGAATTGGTGGTGTAGCAGCATGGCTAAACTTGCTCCCTGAAAGCATAGCCTGTACCAGGGGAGTGTTTCAAACAATACAACTAAAGCTGTTTTCCCTAATGAATTAAAAGTGTATATCAAGAGAAAGAACAGAGGTGGTGGTGTAGCTTTACCTTTGTGAAAGCTTTGCGATGCTCTTCTGAAGGATGTGTTTATTTCTTGTAACTGACATGACATTAGCACTACTTTTAAGTGCTTATTACGTGTCCCCCCTCAGATCAAATGTGTCTGCACATACAATTATTCAGGAATAGCTTCAATTCTGGGCCAATTTTAGTATGAGTTAAAGTGTACACAGGCCATGAGTTAACTGGGAACAGGGCAAAAAAATAAATCAAAACAAGCCATTGGAGCAGTTTTTTCCCCGTGTAACTGAATTGGCTGAATTGGTATATGGGACACAGGTACAACCTTCATAGGCCAGGAGGTCTCAGAAGCTTCTCTCATGTACAGAGCTACTCCCAGACTTTCTCTAAATCTCTTCTTTAAGGGGTATTCCCATATTTAACTAACTGTATGATCTAGTGCAGTTAATATCCTTCTTTTTAGGCTGTTAGTCAAGTATTTCTGACATTGTGCCCTATTTGAAATGGACTGAAAACCCAGTGAAGAGTCTCTGTCTTTTTTGGTTTTAAAGTCTAGGTACTCTTATAGTAATATTTTATAAATAAGAGCAATACTTCTGTAGGTAGGAACGTTTAGGCGGCTTTGCAGCATTGATTTGAAGCCCCAGCGAGGCACGGTGCGATTTGGTGGGTGAACGTTGGTTCCTTCATCTTGTGCTGCCTGCGAATACTCAAATGGTTGATGTTTTGTGTAAGCAAAGGTATGCAAATATATCTTGTCCTAACTACTGGCTGACTTTTGTCTTTTGCTCTCTTCGTTTAGATGACATTTTAGATGAGGCAACAAGGAAAGACCTTTTCACCGACACTTTCTGTAAGGTTTGCGGGGCAGTGCTACAGTTTGAGTCGCAAAGGACGTCACACTATAAGGTACGCTGGAAGGGAGAATTTCTCCTAAAAGCACCGGAGCTTTGGTTTGTTTGCTTGGGGTTTCTATGTAGTGTTATAAAAGACTTCTTATATTGTGTTTCTCAAGGTTTGTGCTAGGCTTAGACATTAACCAGACTTGAATGTTGTGAAAGTTGTGGGTTTGGTGATAGTGAAGGGCAATCACCTGCGTATTGCAGCATGAGTTTAGAAGGAACTGAGCAGGTTCGGGCCAAGCGGTAGCCAGGACTGAAGCAGGTCTGCACCACGTGAGGCAGAGCACGCATATGGCACGGGGCAGTGCTAGCTATAGAGGGTGGAGGTGATGCCTCCTGACGCTTCACCTGGCAATACACACGTGCTGCTCTGTGCGCCCGTGCCTGCTTGAGGCAGGCTGTGTGAACCATGCTGAAGGCATTACTTGAGACAACTGTGTGCCTTGGGATATTGCTGTAGACGTGGGAAAGTGCACTTTATTTTGAAACTTGATCTCAAGGCTGTGCAGGTTTGCAGGTACAGATGTTTCTGTCTTTTTCTTTCTTGCAAAAGTTTAAAATGTCAGTTGTTGTCAGGAGTCTTTCTTTGTGTTATGAAGATTCAGGTCTTGCAAGGTGTTGTATTTTGTTACTTTGATTTAACCTGAGCAGCAGTTGTGCTGTCAGAACTTCACAGAGTTCAGAACCTCAGTTTAATTTTGTGTTTCACGGATCAAAATCCAGTCCAGGATAATAGATGCAGGTGTAAAGTTACCCGACTTCACCATTACAAAATTAATTGATGGAAATAACTGGCTCTTCTCAGTTGTGCGTATATTGTCTAGCCAGGTAAGATAGGTCCTCTTTCTCTTTGATAATGTTGGTACAGTATCCTGCACTGCTCCTTAAAAGACCTCTGAAAAGCATCAGGTCAGAGAAGACAAGTTACTCGTTTTGCTTTGTAGACCACCACTCTATAGTGTGGCATGTATATTAATTACAAGTGCAGGATTTTGAAAGTTATGGGTTCAGAGAGCATCTAAGAATTAAAAAATAATTGCAGCTGAGGGAATTATCATTAACACCCTATTTTAGTTACCCGGACTATTATGTCCTCAGTAGAAAGGTGCAGAAATCTCCGTGGACTGACTCCAACCTGGAGATACTTTACGTGAGCTTCCAGGGAAGCCTGTTTCTCTCTACTTACTGTGTAGGAAGATGAGACTTTTTATTTGGGAAGGTAAGTTAGGCCCTGCTGCCTGTTATTCTTCTGTGCCACAACACAGGGCAGCCTTGATGTCAAGCCCCCAGGCTTAGTGGTAAAGGAGCGCAGCAGACTTGCTCTGTGGCATGGCTGCATTCGTTTCCTTACCTATTTTAGATTCCTTTCCTTCTGTATTTAGAGCCCTGGTTTCTAAGGGGACGTGTCAGGATTTTTGGTTCCCCAAAGAGTTGAGGGTAGATGACTCCGAGGGCTACTTGAGGCACAATGTTATGAGTAATGATAAGTATTATATTATTGATTAAAAGTATAGTGTTGTTACATGAGCTGGAATGCGTCTACTTGTGGCTCTACTTTATACAAATACAATTTGGCAAGGGTTGAAAGCAGTTTTTGATGAATGAAGTCCCAGTCACTGGATATACCGCTGCTTAGATTCTTGTTACTGAAACAGGAAAAATTCTTGTCTCTTCCCAGGGCAAAAAGCATGCTCAGAAAGTTCATCTTTACATCCAAATACACGGTGAGAAAGATGAGAGGCAGGAGCATAGCAAAGAGAAGAAAATGGATTGTATCAATTTTCAGGTGACTATTCCTCTTCATCATTAAATAAAATGTTTCCTTGTATACTTCAGTGAATGCTTGTAACTGAGCTTGCCCTTGCCTGGTTTCAGGTGGATAGGAGTGGAGCAGTGGACAAAAACAGATACTGCAATCTCTGCAACGTGGTTTTTACTTCTCCGATTGCTGCTTTGTCTCACTACTTGGGAAAGATCCATGCTAAAAAGCTGAAGCAATTATCAGGAGACCAAGCCCACATGCCAGCACAGAGCATGCAGCCTGTTTCTGGTACGAATGAGATAATTTGTTTTGCATGTGTTTTCCAGTCACTCTTTGAAACAAATATAGAGAAGTATCTTCCTACACTTACCATGTCTTTTCTGGTCTGCCAAGGTTGTGGAGCTGTCTTGTTATAGCTCCTTAGGTGAATAAACAAAGATACTACTGTGTAACTCTGAAGCTGTGGAACCTTGCTTTCAAATTCCCTGTCCTTCATTGACTGAAATGAAAGGCAAATATTTCTGATTTTTTATTAATAAAATGTGTTTATTGTTGTTCTGAGAATTCAGTGCAATCTCAACAAGGTGTTGCTCTGATAAATTAATATGATAAGAAATCAAAAAACAATTAGTCCCTGAGCAACACTTAACTGGTCTTAGTCCTGAACTGTATTTAAAGATGAAGCATAGACTGTGTTCTGAATCACTTTCTGCAGGATTAATCTCTTCTTGGACTGTATAAGGACCTTAGAGTGACCAGCCATCAAACAGAGCTGATTTTTAGATATCTAGTGATGGGGTTTCTGAATATTCCAGGGTTGTCTTCCTTATTAGTGTGTACTTTAATACCCTTGTGAGGACTCAGGTATTTATAGTCTCTTGCAAGTAGTTCAGCATGCAGCAGGCTGTTTTTCTTTCAAGCTCTGTAGTTCTGGAATCATCTGTTTTGCTCTGCTTCAGCCTTTCCTTTGCTGTGCTGTCAGCAGATTTATCCTGTGCTTCCATTTCTCCAGCTTTACAGAAGCCATCGTCTGAGAAGCCTTTGCTGCCTTCAAAAGCTGAAGAGTCTTTGTCATCCTTCAACATAAGGGTGGAGTTAAATGATCCAGACAAGTACTGCAAGCTCTGTTGTGCTCCCTTCAATAATCCACTCACGGCTCAGGAGCATTATGCTGGTAAGAAACACAGAAGAAATGAAGCACGGAAAAAGATATTGGAGGAGCTGGGAGACAAAGCTGTCTCTGCGGGATCCAGCACAAAAGGTAGGCAGAATGTGAGCAAGTGTTAGAATCTGAGTGTAGCTTGAGTGCTCGGTTCCGATTTGTTCAAGGAACTGCTCTGATATGTGCAAAGAAATGATAGTCTTCTCCTGTGTTACAGAACAAGTTCATTTCTTCCTTTCTGTTTGGTCTGTGAACTGCTAAAGTTCTGTCTCTGACAGCTGTAGGTTGGAAAATATTTGTTACTGACTTGGAAACCCAAATCCAGTCCTCGCTGAGTTCTACAGTCAAATTCAAAGCATTACAGAAAATAACCCAGTCCCCTGAGTCCAAGGCCAGGATCAGTTGTATCTGTGTCATTCTTAAGATGTTCATCCACCTCGTTCTTAGAAACTCTGTGTGCTGGAACTCTACAGCTTCCATAAGGAACAGCTCCCAGGACTTCTTTATCTTTACTTTCTCAATCTTAAAACCTTTTACTGACATTGAACTCGGCACTCTCTGACCACAATGTATTGCTTCACTGTGCAGAGAACAAGAAGCAGACCCATGAACTGCATCATCGATATTTCCTTTTTGTCACATTCTTTAAATAGTTGAAAATTGGTGTCATGTCTTCCCTTAATCTTTTATTCATGAAACGGGTTGTCATAATTATTTCAATCTTCCCACATAAGGAAATTTGTTTCCCGAACAGTTGTTGTTCTCTAGCCTCCCATCAGGACTGTCTGCAGCTCAAGCACCACATCCAAAGCCAAGGCCCTGTCGCTGTGCAACTTCCATTAATTTTGAGGGGGCATCATATGGTCCCATGCAACAGAAGTGTCAATCCTTTAGTAAAGAATTCAAAAATCCTACTCGACAGTCAAAAGTCATTGTTAGTATAAAATAGCACTCATTAAGCCATGCTGTAATTTAAACAAAATAATACATTTTGATGCCTGTTGGAATTAATGCTGCATTTTGCTAATGGATGAAGCTCTTGGGTTTGCATGGGGAAACAGGTTACTCACTGGTTTCAGAATACTTAGGTCTATGGGTGACACAGCTTGTAGGAGAGGAGAAAATGACAGTGTAGAAAACAGAAGGGTGTTCCTCATCTGACCTTACCTTATATTTGCCTGAGGCTTCGTGTACCATATTTGTAGTGTATTGTATCAGCAATTCCCTCAGCATCTTTGCAGGGCTGAACCAACACTGCATGAATGTTTGAGCAGGCAGTGTTTAAACTGACCTTATTTTACTTAAATGTGGACTGACTGAATTGGTATCTGTTGGTGCTTGCTTTGGATCAGGTATTTACAATAGTATTTAAATTTTCACTACAGTTGGATCTCTTCAGTCATCAGAAATACTCTTTGTTAATGTTTAAGCTGTGGTTACATGGCAGCTGTACACCTTACCAGCTCCGTGCATAAATATTATTCTAGTGAAAAATTGCAGCAGAGACTTTGTATCTGTCCATAAACTCGGTTTATGTCATCATGTTAGGACTATTGCGTGGGATGGGATCGTGATGTGCTTTGAGTTTTGCCTTCCACCTGCAGTCTGTGTAACCTACAGGTTCCTTCTTTTCAGCAGTTGGGGTTGGCTATTACGTGTGCCCCGTGTGTAATGTCATACTTACTTCTATAGAAGTGTACCAGTCCCACGTGCAGGGAAATAAACACCAGAAGAAGTAAGTCAGTGAGTCTTCTGTTGCTATTCCTCTGTGATTTGTACTTTAAAATTTTTTCATTAGCCCTGTTGGCTGCTGTTAAGTGACTAGTTCAAGGGGTTTTTGTTTTGGTTTTGGGAGTGAGGGGGTTTTTACTGGTTTTGAGGGGCACTGTCCATGTCAACATCATACTTGTGGCTGAAATTCACTGTTAGAGTTCCCACAGTTGCATGTTCAGTGGCAACCCACAGGAAAGGTGCTGAAACCTGTACAGTTTTCCCAGTTATTTTGCTATCTGGGGGTAGTGGCACCTATTTTGGTACAGCATCTTCAGTGCTCAGTCTAGAAGGAAATGGTCTGAACTTAAAGATTGACAGGGCAAAGAAGACCCTAATCCCAAAAAGTATGGAGTCTCCATCAATTGTGTTGCTTTCAGGATTCATCAGCACGCCTCTTACATTTGGCATAAGGTCATTTACAGGATAGATGATAGCTGTTGTACTTTCCCTTTTACCCAGGAGAGGGCTTTCTCGTAAAGAAATCAGTAACTTTATTACTTGACAGTCAGTATATAATGTAATTGCTTCTTATCCGCATCTAACTGGAGATTAGTTAATAGAGAGAATCTTAAATTTTCTTTTTAAAAGGTAGTTTTAAAAGTGCATGCAGTTATTTTAAAAGCATCGTATTCTTGCAGCATCCTGGGTCGCAAGAAACTCTAGTGATCTTCATGAAGTTATTCTGCATTTTCGGTTTTCACAAAGAGTAGAATCTGTTCCCTGTAACTTCAGCTTTACAGATACGATCCTGAGTAACAGGGTCCATGTAGTTATACAGAACAATGCACTTGGGATATGTTCTTTTTCTAACTCTGGAAATAGGAGGGGTATTTTTTAAACTCAACAGATGCTAAGCAAATTGGTCAGTATTAATAGCTAAGACTTTCTGTTCAATTTATGCAGAGAAGCAGTGCGTGTCAGTCTCATGAAGAAATCAAAGAAAACATGTGACTCCTGTCCAAATGAATCAACGGGTTACATTGAAGTTCAGAAGGCTGGAAGCCTAGAGCCAAGAAGGTGTTTAGGAAAAGCAGGAGAGGAAGAATTTCAAGATGCAAGCATTGAAGGAGGAAGTGACCTTGGTGAGGTAATGTCTACAAACTTTAAGTGTGAACAAGGCCAGCGTTCCAGCCTTTTCTCAGAAATCCAGTTACCTGCAAATACTGGGGAAAACAGATTGCCAAGCTGGCTGTCGGCTTGTGAGTATGCCCTAGAAAAGACAACTAACTGTCACTATAACAAAGGATACTATAAAGTAGAGCAAGAAGAGGAAGTGTCTGAGGTGACCACCATCAGAGAGAAGAGCTTCAGCCTATTGGTTGCAGAATCTAAAGACTGCTATAAGCTTAGTCTTGCTGAAACTTCTACCAGCTCCTACAGAAAAGAACAGAAATTTCAGGTAAAGCTTTTTGAGAAGGGGAAGTATATCAGTGAAGAGCTGAAGTATGAGAAAGAAGCTACAAAGCAGAAAAGAAAGAAAAATAGTGAAGGTACAGATTTTGGAAAAGAAAATGAGAAACAAAAGAGAATTAAATTTGAGATAGATGTGGTGAATGAGAAGAGATCAAGACCTTATAAAGACAAAAGACTTAAAGAAAACCTTGTTGAGAGAGAGAGCGAAAAGCACAAAATGGATAAAAAGAAGCCACAGGCAGACTGCAAAAGAGAAGAGGAGCTACTTTGGGATGAGTCTGTTTTGGGAAATTGATAAAGGTTCTGCTTAGCTTTAAGAAGTTGATTCTGTTTGAAGACTCAGTTAACCATTTGGTACTATACTATGAATTTTTTGGTTTTTCTTTAAGCAAAGTGTTTGTTCAATCTGGAAGCTTGTCTTCTGAAATTTTTGGGCAGTAGGTAGACATCAATTTTTTTATCTTACACATACAGCAGCCACTGCAGTGATGCGAGTTCGTAATCTCTTCTGGAATATGGCACGAATAAGCATCAGTAGCTTACAGAATACTGTTGGAATTTCACCAAAATGTATAGCTTCTTTCTGATATTAATGGTGCCAACTATTGAGGTCTCTGTTGTTCTTCTAGGAAAGTACAGAAACTTGTGAGATAAATAAGTGCACTACAATGTTCCCAGCCATGTCTGAAAATCATTTCTCAGGCAGATTTAAAAGGAGAATGTGAAAGGCTTTTGCCAGATCTTGTTTGCTGTTGGGAATTTTTGGTTTGGGTTGGGTTTTTTGTCACCCAGTTCTGAGTGGAAAATTAGTCTATTAAACATGCTTTGTTGTCAGACGTACCTTGTCTAGAAGATTTTTCTCATTGTAATCCTGATTTTTAGTTTAATTTAGGAAACACAAGAAAGGTGCAATTTGCAAACTTAATTGCTAACATGAGGCTACTTTCTGCTCCATTCACTCAAAATAAGGTACAGAAGGAAAGTTAGAATGAAGTCAGGTTTGTGATCCAAACAATACCCTGAAACATCAGTAACAGCTTTGTATTTCCATAGTAAACGTCAAGTCACCAGACCTTCATTCACAATATGGATTTACGTTATTGTGGCATGAGCACTGATGTCCTACATACAGCAATTAGTTGATAAACTTAGATGATGGGGTTCAAGCTCTTGTGTTGCTCCCAGGGCTCTCAGATAAGACCTTCAGTGAGCTGTGGACACTGGAAACACATCAGTCTGTGCGAGGCCTGGGGCAGGGAGGCTGCCCAGGGCGAAGAGAGGGATTGCCATGTCTGCCTGCGCTGGGCAGAGCTGGGGCTCTGCGGAGGACTTGAAGGCTGTCTGGTGTCTTACTGAAAGCCGCTGGACTGAGTAAATACAATTAAACTGTAAAATGTGATCATTTAAAAACAAAGTCATAAGACAACATTTAGTATCTCTCTTACTGCCTTCAGGTTGCAAGAAAGCTTTTTCTGAGCCTTGATGTGGGATCTGAAAGCCCATCACCCTGTTGAGTCGCACCATGTAGGCTGCACTTTGCACTGGGTTGGTCTGTTTGTAGAGGCACCTGTGCGGAGCTGCTGCTCTCGGTAAATCTGCCCAACTGAAACTTTCTGGTTTGGGTGGGATGGAGTAGAGACCAGGCCCCTCAAACCTTGAGTTCTGTCTGATTTGTCTTAGTTTTAGTTTTGCGGGTAGAAGAAGTAGGTTGAAAAGCCCTGAAAATAACGTAGCCCGTTTTATTATTTAAGGAATTATGTTTTGTGGTTGATTTCAATCTTGGATTATAAATCTGAGTAGTTATCATATGAGCTGTCAAGTAACTTAGTCCATCCTCTGACAGACAAGCTGAACTAGATACATGTAAAACTGAACAAAGTTGAGCAGGAACACACAGGTGCCAGTAACAGTTGGTCAGGAGTCTCGGGAGCATGAACTCTGAGGTTCGTGGGGATTCAGTTTTACGTTCAAAGTGTGCATAGGGTCCTTGCTCTGGTCCGCTTTCCTAATCTCCCCTGGTCTTTCTTTGAGGCTGATGATGCCTCTGCTTTCTTCAGTGGCTCTTTTTCCTTGCTCAGGAGTTACATGCCTTTCTGTATCTTTCTGATGACTCTTTTCATCACACATTAATAACTGCTTTTCTCATTATTTACTTGGGCAGAGAGTGGGTTCAATCATAATTATTCTAACTGCTGATGACAGTTGTGAGCTGTTGTAAGCTGCCAGCTGCAGGCTGCCTGTATTGTCCTACAGTGTAACTGGGGTGGTTTTCAAGCGCTCTCTGCTGTAGATACTCCTCACTGTGAGAATGACATGGGCAAGGCTGCAGCTTGTTTCCCATGTAAGACAAATAATGACTTTCTCTTCGCTCACAACACCTAGTTTGGCAAACCTTGGGGCATTGTAAGATCTCTTTGATATTTCTGCCACTCTGAAATAGGGCTGTACAAATGTGACCAGTGTCTTTCACAATTATTGGTAGGGAACCCTTGCTCCATATGGTCACATACGCCTCCTTTCCTTAGGAAGTCAGTCTAAGAAAACAGTTAGACCTCCAGCAGACAGAAAGGCCACGATGTAGTACTCTGCACACAAGGAGCAGACGAGTTCAAAGGAAAGAAGTGCCAGTTTACTTGCTTTTGAAGTAAGAGTTGCACTTTTAGAAGTCAGGAGAAGGAGATTAGCGGCTCTGAAAATATCATAAAGGCATGAATTGGCAGAACAAGGAGATGTTTCTGTTTTTTTCAGAGATCGTTCCCAGATCTGTACTCGAACTCCATACCCTCCTCCCCCACCCAATGGAAAGTGATTGCACAAACTACTTAGAATAGCTCTAAACAAAGTTTCTTAGTATCAGACATGAAAGATAAGATCCCGAAAGATGCGTTCTTGCCACATTTTAATTAAAAAATGATTAATCTGTGATGTAAATGCTACCAGTGCGACATAGCAGATTCTCATCTAGCAGAAGTGGCTTACAGCTCTGATTCAGGTAAGGGATATCCAATTTTCTAGGGTCATAAATAATGATTATTGTTCATGTGTTTCCTGATTGCCTTGTTCCTAGCCTTTCGCATTTGTGTTGATAGTTATCTACATGCTAGACATTTTTAAAACCTAGGCACAGAGATTGATGATTTTGTTTACCCCTTACTGTAAATATGTCTTTTTTTTTTTTTACTTCTTAGTAGCAAAGGAATTCACACTGTCTGTAGTGAAAGCTAATTCTGCTCATCTGTTCCTCCTATTAAAACTACCAAAGCATTACAATTCTGGTTTGAGAAACAAATTAAGTCACAGATCTTTCTGACACATCTGAGCAGAAGGACTTGCAGATCGGCCTGGAGACCCCTTGGAGCCAGTGGTGTTTTCTGCAGGTATGAGGGTTCCTCTGTGAAGGCCCAACAGCACTAAGTTTCATCTGTCTCCTCTTTCAGTAAACTTTTATGCTGCCTGGCTTTCAAAAACTGCTGTATATCAAAAAGGCAAGTTAAAACTGCGTACATGTAGCAGAGCACAAAAAATAATGTTAAAATTGCTGTTTAAAACTGAGCTTAAATGAAGACTCCTGCATTTCAGTTTGAGCTCTGTCCGTGGTTCACCAGGTCACCTGGCTCAAGTACTCAATTCTTCTAAGGCCTTTTTTCATCTACAGTTGGTGCAGAAGGGGACTCTGGCAGACTTATCCTGCCTGTGCTGTGCCCTGAAGCAGACTGCTGCTGCCGGTTCCCCCTACTTTCTGCTGAAGGTTACTGTCCCTGGGACGTCCTTGTGTCCCTCTGTCTGCTGTTCTCATCCGCAGGCCAACAGATCAGCTTAAACTCTCCTCGTAAGGACAGCTGATGTTGGAGGGAGGCAAGGCCACCCTTCAGCTGGAGCAGGAATAACAAGAAATGCCTGAAAGCATTGGAGTTGCTTCTGCAGTGAAAGCGTAATAGAGCCTAGGTGCTCACCTCTGAAGGCAGCTGTCATCTTCAGGGTCCTGTGCAGAGTGCGAATGTGCTGTGTGAATGAGCAGCGTGAATGTGCTGTTCTGCAAAATACTGTCACTTTTTTGTAGCTTCTTTTCCTTTTTATGACATTTTATACTTTGGTTTCATGACTGGCTGCAGTATGTGAAAAATCTGTAGCGAGATCCTAGTCCGAGGTCTGTCTGAAAAAGGCCACAACTGAAACAGAACATCCCTTTCTGCGTCCTGTGAGGTGAGCAAAAAGGTTTTTTGGTGGTGAAAGGTTCTCATCTGAAATCTGGTGATAGAAGGGAGAGCCCCTGAAGTTGCCTTGCATGCTCTGAGCTCAGGCTGTGGTTTCAGCGAGGCACATGGAACGCTAGCACCTGGCAAGTTAACCCTGCCGTTGGCCTGTGAGACATATCCTCGTCATATCTAATCTGCTAACTTGTCCAGGCATCTTTCTGGGAAGATTGAGAGGCATTCAGCTGAAAGCGGTGTAAATCACCTGAATGCAGCGCCTCGAGCCGCATCTCAAATTTACCGTGTATCTGTGGAATCAGATTGCAGTGTAGAGCAGTTGTTTGAGTAGTCAGAGGACTATTACAGGTTAATTAAATTAAGGTATTTTTTTCAGCACAGAGCTCTCAGCCAGCACTGCTGTCTGACAGCACAGAAGCTGACAGTGTCCTTAACAGCTGTATTTATCAGCCAGAACACCAAGATGAAAGGACCAGGGTGAGGACTGGGAGAGCTGAATTCCCTTTCCAGCCTTTCCATGAGCTTCTCCCGTGATATACAGCTTGCCAGGGACATGGTGTCAGATGCACTCGTCCAGCTGCAGCATTTTTAACCTTAATATGTTATACCTGCTGGTGCTTCTTCACATCCACTGGTGGGAATGACTTGAGGGAGAAGGTTACAGCCCTGTCAGATTTGCTGCTGTCTTCCCAGCTGTACCTGTTTCCAATCCTGCTTGTGTTTTCGGAGTGAGGTGGTGAGCAGCTGGGCACAGTAGCTTTATCACCCTGACCAGCTGTAGCTGACTATACCCTTACACTGGTGATGAATGCAGGTATCGCAAAAATGGGTCATAAAAAATGAAGTAAGTACAGTGCCATAAATCTTTCTATGGGAAAGCTCTGGAAAAAGAGCAATGGGGCTCCTCACCCCCCAGTAGGCTACTGTCCTTTATTTCAAAGAGCTCAATTTGCAGTTGAAAGCAGTGAAGTGCTATTTCAACCGGTTATTTCTGGCAGAGCAAAGGTTTAGGCATCGATTCCTGTTGAACTTCAAAAAAATTCTGTTTTGATTTCAGAGAGCTGAAGCACAGCGCCTGCCCAGC